TAAAAAAACATTAAATTTGCTGGGTGGGAGGCAGAGGCAGGCAGATCTCTATGAGTTCTAGGCCAGCCTGGTCTATAGCACGAGGTCCAGGACAGCCTCCAAAGCTACAGAGAAACCCTGTCTTGAAAAACAAAACAAACAAACGAAAAACCAACACAATAATAATTTCATGTCATATAAATGTTTTTAAAATATTTGCTGTAGCATTATGATACTATGCCCATCCCAGAACGAAGGTTTCGTCAACTCTCTTCATGCTGCTTTTGTTACCAGTTTATTTGCACTGTAATAAGCTAAGCAAGCTTCTGACTCTCTCCTCCACAGGAAAACCAGTCAGGCCACACTGGGTAAGTTTACTGAAACTCTAGGCCCCAGGGACACTCTGTGCCTCTTCCTTGGCCTGTTTGAGTGAACACACAGATAAAAGGGAAACTAATGAGAACATGAAATGATCCAACTTGAAATTTTTTTTCATTACTACGTTTATTTATTTTGAGGGAGGGGTTGGAACAATTTTTTGGCGTCAGTTCTCTCCTTCGCCCATGGTAGATCCCTCTCCTAGGTCCAGAACTTAGGCCGTCAGGCTTGGTGTCAAGTGTTTTATCCACTGAACCATCTTGCTGGACCTAGCTTTTTGTTTTTATTATGTGAGCGGAGACTGCATGTTTGACAGGGGTGGGAGTTGGGGGGGGGGTAGGGAGTAGGGGGTCAAAGGACAACTTTTTTTGTTGTTTTTTTTTTTTTTTGAGACAGGGTTTCTCTGTAGCTTTGGAGGCTGTCCTGGAACTCACTTTGTAGACCAGGCTGGTCTCGAACTCACAGAGATCCGCCTGCCTCTGCCTCCCGAGTGCTGGGATTAAAGGCGTGCACCACCAACGCCGGGCCCAAAGGACAACTTTGAGGAGTCGTTTCTCTCCTACCTTTCTATGGATTCTGGACATTGAACTCAAGCCACCAAGCTTACAAGACAAAAACACTTTTATTTGTTTGTTTGTTTTTCGAGACAGGGTTTCTCTGTAGCTTTGGAACCTGTCCTGGAACTTGCTCTGTGGCCTCAAACTCACAGAGGTCTGCCCGCCTCTACCTCCTGAGTGCTGAGACTAAAGGTGTGCATCAATAATGCCCAGCAAGACACCTTTACCTCTGAACCATCATGATAGCCCAGGGCTAACTTTAAAAAAAGATATTATTATTATTTGTTTTGTTTTGTTCTATTTCTCTAGACAGCGCTTCTCTGTGTAGCCCTGGCTACCCTGGAACTCCATCTATAAACCAGACTGACTTCACAAAGATCCTCCTGCCTCCCAAATGCTGGGATTAAAGATGAGCACTACCACTGCCAGCCTGTTTTTATTTTCTGAGCATTTGTTCACATGTGCGTCAGTGTACCACATGGGTGCCAGGTGTTCACAGAGGCCAGACGAGCATTGGAGCCACTGGAGCTGTAGTTATGGAGGGTTGTGAACCACCATGGGATGTGGGGAACTAAATTCAGGTCCTACACACACACACACACATACACACACACACAGATTCTATTAGGCAATTACAGACTGTTGTAAGTAAATGCTTCAATAAGGTAAATATACAAGTCCCAGGCCAGGCTGGGCTAGATCAGACCCTCTCTCAAAATCTCCTTCCCCAAAAGATGAATATGTTTGACTCTGGGTACAATAATTAACTACATATGTGTATATGGTAATTAATATGGTTTGTAATTAACTGAAGCATTCCTGAATGTAGTTATTGAACAAGATATGGTAACCCATGCCTGTAATCTCAGTCACTGAGAGGAAGAAGCAGGAGGAGAGAATTTCATTTACACAGTGAGGCTTGGCCTACAGAGTGAGAACTTATCTCAAAAACTGAAACCAGGGCCAGAGAGATGACTCAGCAGGTGGGGAATTTCCTGTTCTTCCAGAGGACACAAGTTCGGTTCCCAGCACCCAGTCTGTAATTTCAGCTCCAGCAGATCCAATGCCTTCTTCTGGCATCCACAGATATCCACAAATATTTGGTAGATACACACATAAAAATAAAATTACTTCTTTTTCCATACAGGGTTTCTTTATATGCCCTTGGCTGTCCTGGAACTAACTCTGTAGACCAGACTGGCCTCGAACTCCCAGTGATCCACCTGCCTCTTCCTTGAGTGCTGAGACCAGAGACATGCATCACTACACCCCTGGCTTGTATTTATACTTTTGAACTTCAACCCTCACTGTCTTCCACTGCCAGGCACCGTCCTCTGCGACAACACCTACTGCCTGCCAGTTTGCTATTTCCTGGTCACCTAACAGGTCTGCCTGTCAGCAACTGCCGCAGTCACAGCAGGTAACATGGACTAATCAACTGGTAACTTTGTTTTAGAATGAAGGGGTGTTTTATGATTCTTTTTCATTCAGGGAAAGGCTTGGGCTGAAATTACGCAGCTAGACCATGTGTCTGGAAAGTGTGCAGGATGAAGAGAATGTCAAAATATGCAGTATATGAAGAATAGCACGTGCCCTAACCATCTCAATACTGCAAGTGAGCTCCTGCTACCAACTCTCTGGGTATCATTTTGGGAATTTCACTGGTCGATAACTATTAACACCGGAGCAATACATGATCAAAGTTTAAGAGTATGGCAGTGGCCGGGCGTTGGTGGCGCACGCCTTTAATCCCAGCACTCGGGAGGCAGAGGCAGGCGGATCTCTGTGAGTTCGAGACCAGCCTGGTCTACTGAGCGAGTTCCAGGACAGCCTCCAAAGCCACAGGGAAACCCTGTCTCGAAAAACAAAAAAAAAAAACCAAAAAAAAAAAAAGAGTATGGCAGTGAGTGTCTGGGATTCTGTTCTCTTTCTTTTCTTACCATCTGTTGCCTTACAGGTCACTCCCCAGAAGTAATTGCAACTTTAAAACAGTTCATCAAAAAACTCTTGGCATTTATCCATTCATTTTACAAATATTATTAACCATTTCTGGTATCTTATTAATTTTGGCTTTAAAAGTCATTTTCTTTCTTTTGTTGTTATACAGTGAGACACATAGCTTTATTTAATAATGTATAAAAAGTTGAACTTGGGCACAGTGGCACATTCCTTATTTAGCCATAAGCAATGTGGCTGAAAGTCTCTTCCCATGCTGAGGAGCTGGGTCTGAGCCCTTGTCATCATGCTTTGCTGTATGGCAATTGTCTCCACAGTTCTTCCCCTCGGGCTGCCTGTGGCCACTTAACAGTACAAGGGGACTGAAAACAATTTCGGTCTCCTCTTCCCTGATACAAAAGAGCCTTCAGAGCAATGGGCTCCATAAAAATTAGCTTCCATGAAGTCTGCTGAAATCACCATACCCTAACCCACATGACAAGGAGTTGACATTGCTGTTCCTACTCCACCGCTGGTATTCTCACTGCTGATGTGATTTTGGCCCTCTTTCTGCCTTTCTGACTGAGCTAAATGGTTCCTTTAAAGCTGGAAGGTTTTGCAGGGTGATTTGCATGCAGTCTTTCTGACTGAGGGATGGGGACCCCGTTTTCATCACCATTCTGGAAGATTCCTGCAGATGTGACAGCAGTCCCACTTTGTTTTTTTGTTTTGTTTTGTTTTGTTTTGTTTTGTTTTTTTTGGTTTTTCGAGACAGGGTTTCTTTGTGGCTTTGGAGGCTGTCCTGGAACTCACTCTGTAGACCAGGCTGGTCTCGAACTCACAGAGATCCGCCTGCCTCTGCCTCCCGAGTGCTGGGATTAAAGGCATGCACCACCAACGCTCGGCCAGCAGTCCCACTTTGAAGTGTCTTCAGCACACTGTTCCTAACAAAGCCCCTGCTCTGGAGAAAACACCATGCTGTCTTAGAACTTCATTGTTCACAGGTTCCTAGCAAGATTTGTGCTGTGAGTTACTTCTGCCAGGTGGTGGTGGCGCACACCTTTAATCCCAGCACCTAGGAAGCAGAGGCAGGTGGGTCTCGGTGAGTTCCAGACCAGCCTGGTCTACAAGAGCTAGTTCGAGGAGAGCCCCCAAAGCCACAGAGAAACCCTGTCTCAAACCCCTCCCCCAGAAAAAAAGAGTTGCTTCCACTACTGGTCACAATCAGACAATGGTCTGAACACTAGTAACAGTCTTCCATGTTCTTTACAATTTCTCTTCCCTAGCCAGGTGGTGATGGCACACACCTTTAGTCCCAGCACTCCAGAGGCAGACACAGGCCAATCTCTGTGAGTTTGAGGCCAGCCTGGTCTACTGAGCAAGTTCCAGAACAGGTTCCAAAGCTACAAAGATATCCTATCTCAAAAAACCAAACCAAACAAAAGAAAAAAGAAAAAAAAGAATTTTTCTTCCTTAAAATTATTCTACCATTTTCTTTAGCCAATATGATACCAAAAGAGGAACTAGTAGGTTGCTCCTCTAGATGCCTATTCTGTACATGTCCTCTAAAAGCAATGTTGAGAATGGAAAAACAGAAAAGCTGCTTGGTGTTTTGTTGCTTTTACAGAAGCACAGAAAACATAAAATATAGACATGTGCTCATACACAGAGTTGGGCTTAAAGAATTTGATCAGTTAGATTGCTGGGGAGGCATAAGGAAAAAGCACATAAAAGAAGACACGGATATTGGATGCATGCCTGTAATCCCATACTGAGGCCCGAGGATTATTTGCCTGAACTACAAAGTGAGTTAAAGGGTAGCCTAGGCTACAAAATGAGACTCTATCTTAAAGCAAACAAAGAAACAAATAGCTTTAGTAATGGCTTGGATTTGGAGTACATGAAAAAAGGGTTGAGTGACCAGAAAGACTGACAAAACCAGGCTAAAGAGAGGTCCCATAGCCATCTCGTGAAAATATTCCTAAGAACATTTGGTCATCTGTACAACACTGGATGTCCTGGTCCTGTGAGTCTAAAGACAAGCTACTGAGTAGAGCGACTTATAATTCATGCTGTTGCAGTCCATGCTGCAGCAGTGCTGATTCTGCAGCTGCTTATTAGGATGCAGAAGGCCGCCCTCCCTCAGAGAACTCTGAGGACCAAGGGAGCTGGACAAGTCTTCCAGCATCGAGCGATAAGATTCACCCATGCTGTCTTTACCCTTGAGGTTGTTGCTTCAGGCAGGAGGAGTACCTCCCACAGCTAAAACCACATCAGGCTGGAGAGCAGTCAGGCCTGTCTTCCTTTATTGCTGTCACCAAATGCCCGCTTGCTTCCACAGATCTGTCACCATGAAGGCGGCCTTCTCAACTGCCCTCCTTGTTCTGGCCATCTCAGTGGGGACTTCCTTTGCAGTTGGTGAGTTACGAGTTCTTGTTCTATCCATATTTTCTGCACTAGATCTAATCTATTTAAAAATTAGAGGTGCACATGCCATGCAGAGTCGTTCATTATCTGCAGTGCCGGAAATTGAACGGAGAGCCTTGTGCGCTGTAAACTGAGCTACATCCCCAGTCACCATTTAAATTTAGCTGATTACTAATTCCTCATGCTACGGATGAAGCTGAAATCCAGACAAAAGGTTCACACAGAGTTGCTAAGTATCAAAACTGAGAGTTGAATCCCAGCCTCTAAAATCCAGAGCCACTGACTTTACCAAAGTACTAAGTTATCAAGAGGACATTCAGTCCTAGGGAGCATTCATTTTCAGTTTGTATCTGTCCACATCCCAAACCCCAAAGAACTCCCATAGACTTTGGAGAAGGAGATTCTGATGTTCTCTGGCTAATGACAGACCATTTTTAGCAAAGGTGGCTGAGGACCTCGCATCCTTTCCCAGTTAGACTCCCCGGTGCCTCACTCATCTTTAGCCCCATATTTACCATGGCGACTGTCTCTCACATCGGACCCCCCCACCCCCTGCGAGGTTCACACCTTGAAAAGCTTGGTAAAAAACTGAGAACTACTATTCATGTCTCGAATATCTCCTCTCCCTCCATATCCAATGTAATCCTGTCTGGGGGAAGCTAGGTTCATTTCCCTCTCACTTTGGGCTCAGTCCTAACCCCCTGTGCTACTGAACACAACACCGCCCACCAGCCTTCCACCTTGTGCCCCTCTGATGAATGGTTCAATCCTTGGGCCTTGTAGGTAACCAGGTCCTAAGCCGGGAGACCTGCAGCAGGGTAGTAGTATATCCTGGACCCTGCTACCCAGGGGCTAGAAGCAGCCTGACTATTGTCATGCTGAACGGGTCAAACATTGACTGAGTCCCACTCTCCCACCCAAAGAAGGAGTGACCCTGTCACCCAGCTAACTTCAGTATACTTTCTTATCCTGGTCACACAGCACAAGCCACATATTAGAGTATTGACTAAACCTGCTTCCTCACAATGCAAAACCTTTCTTTCCCTCATAAACCTTTAAAGATGGACGCATTGCTTTTCTGTCAGCAATGAAGCATCTTGCCCAGATCTTCACACTGCCTCTGTGCCTGTGGATTGTTGAGGGTTAATAAATCTCTTTCAGCCAGGTGGTGGTGGCGCACGCCTTTAATCCTAGCGCTCAGGAGGCAGAAGCATGTGGATCTTTGTGAGTTTGAGGCCAACCTGATCTACAAAGCGAGATACAGAGCAGCCAGGACTGTTACACAGAGAAACCCTGTCTCAAAAAGGGGTGGGGTGGGGTGGGGTGGAGAGATGGTTCAAAGGTTAAGAGCATAGGCGGCTCTTCCAGAGGTCCTGAGTTCAATTCCCTTCAACCACATGGTGGCTCACAGCCACCTGTAATGAGATCTAGTGCCCTCTTCTGGCATAACACTGTATACATAATAAATAAACAAATAAGTCTTTAAAAAAAGAAAGAAAAAAAAACAAGCAAAATCTTTCCTGAAAAACAATTCAACTCAGTCTCTCTCTCTCTCTCTCTCTCTCTCTCTCTCTCTCTCTCTCTCTCTCTCTCCCTCTCCCTCCCCTCTCCTCCTCCTTCCCTCCCTCCTCAAAAATCTAACAGTGCCTGCCTTCTGTAGCAAACACTCCATCTTTCCTGCTAGTTGTGTGGCCTTATGTTTTCTCCAGGGAGCTCACGTCTAGTAACTAAGTCCAGAAGACAGGACTCGTGAGCCACATGAGGCCAAGCTTTCCTTCTGCAGTGAACAATGGCTCCCCTTCAGCGCCCATTCTCACCTCTGTTCCTTGAGAGGGGTTTTGTATTAAACTGTTCCTTTGTCTTGTACTTAATCCTCTCCCTTCCTGCCCCCAAGCTGTGTCTTTCTCCTCTCAGAATTGCGGAGCCCACAGCAGGGCCAGCTGATGACTAAGCAGTTTTGTGCTTGGCCAGGAAACAGAAGTATGATAAGAAGTTCACAAAACAGCTTCTCAACTCAACAAAGGCTGAGACCCTTTTGGAGGATAAGGGACAAAAAGGGAGACTCTTAGGTGATAAGGAGCCACCTTTAGTCCTACATGACCTGCATTCAGTCTGATTGAAAGCATCAGACCAAGAAGGCATGGGAAGCTGGGACCTGTACCAGGTGACTGTGTCAAACTTTATCACAGTGGGACAGAGTCTGGAGTGAAGAAAATGTCAGCATGGCGTCCTTTATGACGGCCAGTTTTGCTCTGTTCTGTCCCACTGTCTTTTTTTCTCAGCGTTCGCTACAGCATTAAGCAAGACATCTGTGTGGCCCATTAGCTAGATGTCCTGTCTGAAAAGGAACACTGGTTATAAAAGAATTGTTTCTCAGCCCAGCTGTCGTGGCGCACGCCTTTAATCCCAGCACTCCGGAGGCAGAGGCAGATGAGTCTCTGTGAGTTCAAGGACAGCCTGGTCTACAAGAGCTAGTTCCAGGACAGCCTCCAAAGCCACAGAGAAAGCCTGTCTAGAAAAAAAACAAAACAGAAAAAGAATTGTTTCTCTCAAGCCTGAGAGAATGTTTGCTTGGTAACAGCTTGAATTACTGAAGGCATCATCCATATTGCTCCAAGATCTTTAATACTATGCTGGGTTTCCCAGCACCTAGCACACTTATTACATATCCAAGAAATATATGCTTTGTGCTGGAAACTAAGCTAGACAGGTTTGTGTAGCAGTAATGTCCCTGGACTCACAGTATGATACACCAAGGGTGGGAGATATATGATATCAAGACAGCACACACCTTTACTCCCAGAACTCATGAGGCAGAGGCAAACAGATCTCTGTGGATTTGAGTTTGAGGCCAGCCAGGTCTACAGAGTGAATTGCAGGATAGCCATAGCTATATAGAGAGGATTAAGGGTACAGGGAGGGATATCATCAAAGAACTTCCCTGTCTCAAAACAAAACAAACAAACAAATCATAGCACCCACCTAGCCATTAGCAGAGCTTAACAGCTGACTCTACATAGAGCCAAACTGAACTATGAGACATGAATTATGCACTAGTGGGAGAACTGATATCACAGCATACACATTATATGACTTGAAGTTGTATGACTCAACTCAATATATACAATTCTTTTTTTTTTTTTTTTTTTTTTGGTTTTTCGAGACAGGTTTTCTCTGTGGCTTTGGAGGCTGTCCTGGAACTCGCTCGGTAGTCCAGGCTGGTCTCAAACTCACAGAGATCCGCCTGCCTCTGCCTCCCGAGTACTGGGATTAAAGGCGTGTGCCACCAACGCCCGGCCAATATATACAATTCTTTACATGCTAAATAATTACATAATTACTTAATTATAAAGCTTTATATATGGCCGGGCGTTGGTGGCGCACGCCTTTAATACCAGCACTCAGGAGGCAGAGACAGGCGGATCACTGTGAGTTCGAGACCAGCCTGGTCTACCGAGTGAGTTCCAGGACAGGCTCCAAAACAATACAGAGAAACCCTGTCTCGAAAAACCAAAAAAAAAAAAAAAAAAAAGCTTTATATATGATATACATATGAGTTGCAGAGATGTAGTCAGACCTTCCTTGGTGGGACTACCAGCCCACAAATAATGACATGGAGACTTATTATTCATTATGAAAGCTTGGTCGTTAGCTTAGACTTGTCCCCAACTAGCTTTTATCACTCAAATTAACCTGTTTCTATTAATCTACTTTCTACCACATGGCTTTTACTTCTCTCCTTTTCTGTGTGTCTGACTTGTTCTGCCTGGATTCATTTCTAGTTCCTCTCTCTTTGCCTGGAAGTCCCGCCATTCAGCTCTTTATTAAACCAATCTGTGGATGCCTTGGCAAAGACACATCTTCACAGAGTACAAGATTATCCCACCACATAAAGATGCTCTGAATTGAGTATGTAAGCTAGTGAAACTCAGTGTCTTTCAAGACATCTCATTTTAGTATTACAGATCATTTATAACTTAAGATGTATGTTCTTAAACAACTAGTGAAAATACAAGTGGCAGGGTGGTTGAGGGTGACTTAGTTGATAGAGTGCTTTCCAGCATGCAGAAAGCCCTGGGCTCAGCTGGGTGTTGGTGGCGCACGCCTTTGATCCCAGCACTCGGGAGGCAGAGGCAGACAGATCTCTGTGAGTTCCAGGACAGCCTCCAAAGCCACAGAGAAACCCTGTTTCGAAAAAACAAAAAAATAAATAAATAAATTATTTTATGTGCATGAATGTTTTACATGCATGTGTGTTTGCCACCATGTTTGGGAACTGGCATTGTCTGAGCACTGCTTTCACACGAGCACTGTGTCTGAGCACTGCTTTCACATGAGCACTGTGTCTGAGCACTGCTTTCACATGTGTACTGTGTCTGAGCACTGCTTTCACACGAGCACTGTGTCTGAGCACTGCTTTCACACGAGCACTGTGTCTGAGCACTGCTTTCAGAGGCCAGAAAAAGGTGTCAGGTGCTCTGGAACTGGACTTACGGTTGTGAGCCACGCTGTGGGAGCTGAGAGCTGAACCTTGGTCTTCTGCCAGAGTAATAAATGCCATCTCTCCAGCCTCAAAAAATATGTAAAAACATCTTTATGAAATCCAGTACTGCAAAAAATAAATATATACCAATTGTAAAAAAAGAATTTTAAAGCTAGGCAGTGGTGGTGCACACCTTTAATCCCAGCACTCAGGAGGCAGAGGCAGGCAGATCTCTGAGTTCAAGATCAGCCTGGTCTACAAAGCTACAGACCTTGTCTTGAAAAAAAAAAGTTTTAAAAATGACAAGAAAAAAACCCTAAGGTTTTGGAAGTTATTTGCCCAAGAAGGGACAGTCAGGTCTCTACTTTCTAACTCTTTTCATTTCTATGGAGGTCAGCTCATGCTGAAGGGGAACCCTGGGCTCTGGTGAGGAGATGGGATGCTCTCAATGACAAGCAGGGCCTCCTTCACCTAGCCTTTTCCCTTGAGGACACAGACCGGGAATAACTCTCCGGTGTGCATGGCATTGCCTTCCAGATTTCTATCTTCCTATGAGTGCGCGCCTGACTGAGGAGCTCTTCCAGGAGACGAAGGTGAGCTCCACTTCCCAGGTTGCCAAGAACAGGAATGGAGAAAGACCCAGCTTCCCTCCCAAGTCCCTGGGAGGTGGGGAGCAGGGGGGCCATGCCTGGGAACACCACGATCCTAAGAGAATCCCAGAGTATGTGCAGCTCATTTGGTTGCCCCTAGGGGCTCTTCCTACACAGTACTCCAATCTGCAAGCCTCCTGGGTTAACCATCACTAAATGCATGAGGAGGTCATGGTTCAAATTCAGGTTGATCCCAGCCAGATAGATGGTGGTGGTGCACACCTTTAATCCCAGTATTTGGGAAGCAGAGGCAGGCAGATCTCTGAGTTCAAGGCTAGCCTGGTCTACAAAGCTAATTCCAGGACAGCCAGGGCTACACTGAGAAACAGTATGTGGAAAAATAAAAGCAAAATTCAGGTAGGTTGGTCCCATCATCTCCATGGTGATATCCAGGACACATGTATGCCACCCTCACTCCAAACCTCATGCAGCATTCTTTGTCAGCTCCGAGTCTGAGCCTTGCTATGACACGTTTGAACACACTTAACGAAGTACAGATTGTAAGTCATTCACCAGTGCTCAGAAGCAACACCAGTTTTTCCAGGCATGGTGGCACACACTATTAGCCCCAGCACTTAGAAGGCACAGGTGGGAGGTTCCCTGTGAGTTTGAGTCCAGCCTGGTCTACACAGCGAGTTCCAGGACAGCTGAAAATATATAGAGACTATGTCTCAAAAAACAAAATCAAATAGCAAAATACAAAAAAGTAGAGCCGGGCGTTGGTGGCACACGCCTTTAATCCCAGCACTCGGGAGGCAGAGGCAGGCGAATCTCTGTGAGTTCGAGACCAGCCTGGACTACCAAGCGAGTTCCAGGACAGCCTCCAAAGCCACAGAGAAACCCTGTCTCGAAAAACCAAAAAAAAAAAAAAAAGTAGAAATATCAAAAATAAAAATGGAGACAAAACACCAAAAAGAGATTTAAAAGGAGAAATCTGCTCCATTTTTTAGGAATTCCTTTCCTTTTTTCTTTCTTTCTTTTTTTTTTTTTTTTTTTTGGTTTTGCGAGACAGGATTTCTCTGTATTGTTTTGGAGGCTGTGCTGGAACTCACTCTGTATACCAGGCTGGCCTTGAACTCACAGAGATCCACCTGCCTCTGCCTCCCCAGTGTTGGGATTAAAGGCATGTACCACCAACGCCCGGCCCCTTTCCCTTTTTTCTTAAAATTTTATTTTATGTGTGTCTATATGGATATATGTCACAAGTGAACAGGTACCCATGGAAGCCAGAGGATAGCCTGGAGCTGGAGTGACAGGCAGTTGTGAGCCGTGTTATATGGGAGTTGGGAACTGAACTCTGTTCCTCTGGAAGAGCGGCCAGTGCTGAGCCGTCCATCGCTCCAGCTCCAGAGACGCCTGTTTGGGAAGACCTTTCCCAGCTTGTGCTCTCTGTACTGCAACGATCACTCTTTGTGGTCTGTAGAACAGAGCTTCTCCCTAATAAGGAACCAGCGGGAGACTGGGGACTGCACAGAGTACCTGTTACAGTCATGTAGGATCAACAGTAAGGACCACGATAAATGTGGAGGATACGAAGCCTGTTCTCTAAACTCCTGGCCTGGTGTTCCTTGCTCCGCCGCCCCGTCCCTGCTACCAGTAACAACGACCAAAGGACCCGGTGATGGAAGCAGTGCTCTGTGTCTCACTTCAGGTCTTGTGCAACAAGAATGTAAGGAAGTGCTGGATGCTTTCCTACTACAAGCCCGACGAGCCTATATGTGGCACTGACCAAGTTACCTACGGCGGTGAGTGCCATCTCTGCTCCAGAGTTCTGTAAGTCTCCATTTTATCATACCTGCCTCAGCCAATTCCCACTAGATCTTCCCTCACACCCTACACTACCTGCTTCTGCGTTTCTTCCCGCTCTCCTCTGTCTCCGAGAAGGTGAATGGGATCCCATTTCTGCATCACAGCGGTCAGAGCAGTGTCTGGAGGGGACAACGAGCAAGTGGAGGTAGCAAGAAGGCTTAGCACTCAGTCATGTGACCACAGCCCAGTTGGCTCACCAGGCCAAAGAACAGCCTGATGAGGTAGGCTAGTGAGATAGATGGCTCAGCGGGGAGCCGCACTTGACACCGAGTCTGATGACTTGAGTTTGATCCGTGGTGGAAGGACGGCCCTACATTCCAAAAGCTGTCCTCTGACCTACACACACACACACCACGGCACACACGTGACCATGCACACACACACGAGCACACACACAAATATGGGAGGTAATAATAACACTTCTTAAAGAAGAGGAGGAAGAAGGGAGGTGGGCAAAAAAGGAGGAAGGGGAGGGGGAGGAAGAAATGGTAAGGAGTTTTCCCAACTACTGTGTACCAGTTAACACAGGCGTGCACCACTACCTCCCAGCCTGCGTTTTATTTATTTAGGAAAGAGGCACTTGCAGCCGGGCTTGGTGGCTCACACCTTTAATCCCAGCACTCAGGAGGCAGAGGCAGGTGGATCTCTGTGAGTTTGAGGCCAGCCTGGTCTACAGAGCGAGTTCCAGGGTAGCCTCCAAAACAATACAGAGAAACCTTGTCTCAAAAAACCAAAAAAAAAAAAAAAAAAAAAAAAAGGAAAGAGGCACTTGCACATGCCAAGTGCACATGTGGAGGTCAGAGGACAACTTGAAGGAGTTGTCTCTCTCCTTCCCACTCTAGGGAGAAGCTCAGATTGTCACCTTGGCAGCAGGTGGGTTTACATGCTCACCCATTTCATCAACCCTGTTAGGGTTTGGTTTTGTTTTTTTAAATTTAGTTTTCTTGTTTTTGAGAATTTTATACATAATACCGTATTTACATCATTCCCTCGTCCCTCTCCATCTCCTGTGTGTCCTCTCCACAATCCCTCTCCATTTCCTTCATTATTATTGTTGCATGTAAATGAGCGGCTAGAGCAGATGCCAGAACAGGCTGCTCAGTAGTCTCTCAGAGATCAGGCCTCAATTTCAGTTTCCTGAGGCTGAGCAAGCAGTTTCTGAGAGAGCCACGAGCAGAGGGCAATTAATCACTGGTGCCCCTGACAACGGGGACAAGGGAGACAGGATGCACCGAGCCTGGGCCACTGAGCCAGCCCCCACAGCAGCTCAAGGACAAAGCCTGGGGCTTGTCCAGGCCTGCCCAAAGATGGAAAACTGTAGCCCTGACCAGACCCTAACTACCCCGGCCAATTAGAATGCACTAATATGATTGCCACTGGCTTGAGCCAATCATATCTAAGACAACCCGCCGTAGGAACTCCCCTAACTACCCTGGCCAATTAGAATGCACTAATATGATTGCCACTGGCTTGAGCCAATCATATCTAAAACAACCTAACTGCCCTAGGAACTCCCCTTCAGTTGTGCTTAAAAGGAGCCTATGGCAGGTCCCAGCAGCATGCTGGAATAAATATGCTCTTGCCTATTGCACACATGGATGGTGGTCTTTTGTGGGACCTCTTCAAGACCCTAACAGTAAACACGCATGCACGCACACCCTACTGAGTTCATATATGTTTGCTTACGTGTACTTGTGTTTAGGGCTGACCACCTGGGGTGGGATAACCTAAGAGAGGGGCTTCTTCCCGGAGAAAACCGATCCTCATCCTCTCAGAAGTCACTGGCTGTAGCTCATCATCTAGGGTGGGGCCTTGTGAGATCCCCACCCCCTTGCCACCCCTACTGCCCATGTTAGCATGATGTGGTCATTATGCAGGTCTTGTTTCCCAGTAATGTGATTACCTGAACAAGATCAGTTGGGAGGTTTCGATCACAGATTTAATGTCTATATTTCGAGGTCTGCTAAGTTGTTTTTCATTTTTTCGTCACTCAGTTTAGATAATTGTGTTTCTGTGAAATTTTCATTGTCATCTAGGTTATCTAATTCATTGATACATATGTTCATAGTATTTTCTTCTTTAAGATCATTGTGTTCTTAAATGTGTATGGTTTGTGCATGTGCGAATATGCACGGGCACATACACATGCAAACATGACACATGACACATGTAAATAGAAGTCCTATGGAAGCCAGAAGAGGTCACTGGATCCCCTGGAGCTAGAATGTAGGCTGTGCCCAAACTCACCTTCTTCTGACCTCCATAGGTACACAGATATGAAGGCAAAACACACATGAAACAAAATAAAATAAATACTATATATATGTATATATACATATATATAAACTCACTGTCATTAACAAATATTTCTTTCTTGGTCATGGTTTATAGCATACAACATAACAAAAATAATCATAATTTTTCTTCCAGATATGACGACAGAACCATAATTAAAATGCATGATGGAGAATGTGTAAGTAAGGTCACTTTTCTTTTTTTTTTTTTTTAAAGTAAATCACATACATTTAACAGCTCGTTGTCAAGGATTTGTGAGTGGGAATTGCATATGTGCATGTGGTTTATGAATGAGTATTTGGGTATCTACACAGGAGTGTACATGTGGAGCCCAGAGCAGGCTGCCAGGTATCATTTTTGTGAGACTTTTTTATTTCCCTCTGCCCTGTTGCCTTGAGACAGGATATCTCCCTCTCAGAATCTACCTGCCTCAGTTCCCCAATGCTACTTACAGGGAGGGACTCACAGCCGTGCCCAGGTTTTTACTCAGTCCTGGGAATTCAAACCCAAGTCCTCACATTTGTGCAACATATTCTCTTAATCTCTGAGACGTTTCACTCGCCTCTGTTATCGAGGATTTGTAACAGTTTGTTAAGAATATTGTCAAAATGCATAAAGGGAGAGATAGTGGTAAAATGAAGCCAAACAACTGTCATACAGATTGAAAAAACTGGGAGGTTTGGCATTTGTCTTTGCTCCATTTATTTCTCTTCGTGGTTGATGAAGCATATTACACAGACTTGTAAACAACCTTCACCCATCATTCTTCAGAGTACATTACCAAGTTTAGACGTTTCTTTACACACCCCCGTGGCCATTACCACGTCTAACTAGTTCCTTGGCATCTTCCAGGGCATCCTACACCTTTCCCAGTCATCTTAAATATAAGAACTAGTCAACCTACAGCAATGTCAGAGCCAGCCTGGCAACTCGGAGAGATACTGTGAGTGAAGTGGGAGAATGGGAGGGATGGAGAGGGGGAACCAGGGGAGAGAAAGGAAGGAGAGACAGGCATTCTTAGACTAAAGAAAAAGAAAGTCCAATATGCTGCCTATAGAGATAGCCTAATGCACAGAGAAACAGAAAATAAGTGCATGTAACCAAGCCTAAAAATCAACGATAAAGTAACAGAAATTTGAACCTACAAGCTTGATGTGACCAAACAGAAGATTCTGGGGTCTTACCCTTGAGGTTAGAGACAGGTCAAACAGCAGGACCGCTGTCCATACACATTTCAAGACGCAGCAGGGGCTTCTGGGCACCCAGCACCGTGCAGGCTGCAACGTGAAGTAATGCTGTCTTTAGAGTCTGAGAGCTGTCTGCTGCTAGAACCTTCTTGCTCAGAACAAGGGAGGAACGGCCCTTGTGTCAAATTCAAGCCTTCAACTGCTGGGATTTATGGTTAACCTTAAGAACAAACTAAATCTTTTTATATTTTTATTACTTTAATTTTAAATAGCTTGCTTCACATGTCAATCCCAGTTGACCAGAGGATATTAAAGATATAGCTGGGCCAGACAAAGGGGTGTATACCTGTGATCCCGGCACTTGGAGATGGAGGCAGGAGGATCAGAAATTAAGGTCATCCTTAGTTATATAAGTTTGAAGTCAACCTGGGCTATATGAAACTTTGTCTCAAAAATAAACAAATAAAAACAAAAGAAAAAAAGAAAGAAAACGGGCCACAGAGGTAGTTTGGTAGTTCAGAGGACTGCTTGCTCTTCCAGAGGCCCTATTTAATTTCCAGGACCCACATGGTGGCTCACAATCGTCTATAACCCAGCTTCGGGAGATCCAATGCCCTTTTCTGACCTCCACAAGCACCAGGCACAAAATGGTGCACAGACACACGCACAAGCAAAGCACTCAGATGCATCAAAACAAAATAAAGAGCTGGGCGTCATGACACACACCTTTCATCCTAAAACAGGGGAGTAGTTCTGTGAGTTTGAGGCCAGCCTGGTCTACACAGCCTGTTCTAGGCCAACCAGGACTACATAAAGAGACCCTGTCTCAAAATCTGACGGTGGTGGTACAGGCCTTTAATCCCAGCACTTGGAAGGCAGAGGCAGGCCAGCATTGTCTACAAAGTGAGTTCCAGGCCAGCCAGAGCTACACAGTGAAACACTGTTTCCAAAACTAAAAGACAATAACGGAAAAACAAAAATTATATGACTTAGTAGAGAAACAATCCATTCTCCTGAATTATGAGTTAAACATTAAGACTATGATAGTTTTCTCTAGAACTGTGTTAGACAACATTTTATTTCCATGATTATTCCAGCTGATACCAGATCTCTGATGAATGAAGAACACTGTGGATGAGTTAGCAGACAGCTGGCAGAACCTGAAGGGATTTTTTTTTAAAGATTTATCACATATACAGTGTTCTGCCTCCAGGCCAGAAGAGGGCACCAGATTGAATTGTAGATGGTTGTGAGCCACCATGTGGTTGCTGGGAATTGAACTCAGAACCCCTGGAAGAGCAGTCAGTGCTCTTAACCTCTGAGCCATCTCTCCAGCCCCCCTGAAGGGATATTTTATCATCTCAGCATCCTATATCTCAGGCAAAAAACAAGAATATGCATCTTTATTTATTCACTTTTTTCTTTTTCCTTTTTGGGGTTTTGGTCTTGAGACAGGGTCTCACTATGTAGCCCTGGCTATCCTGGAACTCTCTATGTAGACCAGGCTGAATCTGAACTCACAGAGATCTAGCTGCCTGCCTCTGCCTTCAGGGTGCTGGAATTAAAGCCATGGACTATACCACCCTGCTTGTATATGTTCTTAATATTCAGGAAGAAATGACAAAAGAAATAGACAAAGACTGGTTTACAAAAAAAAGAGAAAGGCCAAATCTGAAATGCTAGCATTTGGGAGCTAAACAGGAAGACTGCAGATTTGAGATTAGCCTTGCCTCTACTGTAAGACCCTGTTTCTAAAACAAAAATCAGAGACAGAGACTGTGCAGTTGAGCTTGTTCTTGAGCTAACTGACATGTAAAGCCTGCACAGATGCTCTGGAATAACTAGACAAATTCAAATTGAGCCAATAATGAGATGCCAGTTCACTGGTTGCTAGAAAAAGTCAGGAGGTGGGTGAGTACCCAGTGCTAGTGGAGACAGAGTCAACGTTCCCTCAGTCTCTGGGAACAATGAGGACTTAAAGTCACTGGAGAACAGTCTCACGTGTTTTAGACAATGTAACAAATTATGAATATATGAATCTTACGGACCAGCATTTCCAAACCTAGAAAATGACAAAGGAATTTTCTCATAGCTTTGCAAAGTGACATAGAAATTTATGGCAATGTTTTGTTTTGTTTTGGGGGGGGTTCGAGAGAGGGTTTCTCTGTATTGTGTTTGGAGCCTGTCCTGGAACTTGCTTTGTAGACCAGGCTGGCCTCGAACTCACAGAGATCTGCCTACCTGCCTCCTGAGTGCTGGGATTAAAGGCATGCGCCACCAATGCCCGGCTATTATGGCAATGTTTATCATGGTGTGAAGCAAAAGAAAATGGATGGATGGATGGATGGATGGATGGATGGATGGATGGATGGATGGATGCCAGTTCCTCCCCAGATACTTGGACAAGCTCCCTATCTGTATCATACAACAGGAAGGAGGCTGGCTCTTACACCTAACCCCAGCCCTTCTTCCTGCCTGGTGTCACACCCTTTACAGGTATCTCCTCCCCCAGTTCCCTCACAGGAGCTTTAAAGGCACAATCCTTAGCTACATCTCATAGGCAAATAAGCAGAGGTCTGGAGAAGCCGTGTGATTTGCTTCAAACCCCCTGAGCTGAGACGCGATAGGGCTGCATGGAGAGTGTGGAGATACGTTTCCCATTCTGCTCTCCATGAAGCCAGTGGTCTAACCCTGCATGTCACGTGCCCCTCATCTAATGCCTATTCCTCCCATCTGCTCTGGTGTGGAGCTCTGAGAGGCTCCAAGTCCCCAGAATCACACAGACACCCACATGTTTTGTTCTCCTCTCTGCCCACATCCACTCTGCTATCTTTTCATCCTTCAATGAAATCAGAATGTCTCTAGTCAGCCTCAGTTCAGGGGTCAGGCTCAAAACAAACTTGAGCCGTGTCGGGTGGAGCAGATTGGCAACCCCAGCTACACGGGAGACTGGGGCAGAAGAATTGTAAACTCAACAACAAAAATGCTTGTAAACTCAACAACAAAAATGCTTGAGAAGAATATTCCCATTTAGTAAACAACACATACTGTGGTACAGACAGTTAACAGTGCAGTAGTTTTTCTCTTAATTTCACTCACTTCAATTTCTCTAAGCAAATATTTCTCTTACAGATTTACTCCTTGGAAGACTATGAATAAGCATAAAAGTTACTGGATTCTCAGATAGCCGAGTAAAGCATGAAGACTGAGTCGTCAAAGATACCCAATACTTTGGGGGACAAGGGCTGGAGGTCCTAGTACAGTACTTGCCTAGCATGTATGAAGCCTTAGGTTAAATCTCCAATGTTTGGAGAGAAAAAAAAGGATATAGCTCCTTGAGAAATGCATCCTATAGTAGAAGATACTTTACTTCTTCAATAAATTATTCTCAGCACAAGCTTGGTTGGTAAACATTTTCTCAGTTAATAAGAACCTTTTCTTGTCAGGCAGTGATGGTGCATGCCTTTGATCCCAGCACTCGGGAGGCAGAGGCAGGTGGATCTCTGTGAGTTCTAGGCCAGCCTGGTCTACAGAGTGAGTTCTAGGACAACCAAGGCTACACAGAGAAATCCTGTCTCGAAAAACCAAAAAAAAAAAACCAGATATTCTGTGTTCTCATTCCTCACAAAACCAATGAAATGCAAAATGAGGGAATAAATATCTCAGTAGCAACAATATTTACAAGCTAAGGGTTCTGGTTATATTAAGCTGGGTATTAACAGGTTAACCGGGTAACTATCAGCATGTCTCTTAACAACTACACCATAAAAGGGATTTAGATTTATTTTAAGTATGTGTATGAGTGTTTTGCCTCCATGTATGTCTGTGTGCCACAAGCACATGTGATGCTATTGTCGCCAGAAGAGGGAGTCAAATTCCTGGTAGTGGAGCTACAGATGGGTGTGAGATGCTATTGTCGCCAGAAGAGGGAGTCAAATTCCTGGTAGTGGAGCTACAGATGGGTGTGAGATGCTATTGTCGCCAGAAGAGGGAGTCAAATTCCTGGTAGTGGAGCTACAGATGGGTGTGAGATGCTATTGTCGCCAGAAGAGGGAGTCAAATTCCTGGTAGTGGAGCTACAGATGGGTGTGAGCCACCATGTGGATGCTAGGAATCAAACCCTGGTCTGCTCTAAGAGCCGCAAGTACTCTTAACTGCTGAGTCACTTCTCCAGCTCCAAAGATTTGTTTTTAGTTATGTGAGTGTGTCTAGATGTATACATGAACAGGTGCCCACAAAAGCCATGGGCACTAGACCCCCTAGAGCTTGAGTTGCATGTGGCGGAGCTACCTGACTTGGAGCCTCTGCAAGAGCATCACATGCCCTTGACCACTGAACTGTCTCCAACTTGAAGCTCAGGGTTTTACTGGAAGAAAACCTGTTGAGTATGAAATTGCAGTGATTCTGGCGGTAGTAATGCTTTTAAATACTTCCCAGTAAGGCATCTAAGATTCAACTTAAGTCGGGTTGGATGGAGCAGGTCTGCAACCCCAGCTACATGGAAGACTGGGACAGAAGAATTACAAATTCAAGGAGAATTGCAAATTCAACAACTAACATGCTTGAGAAGCATATTCGCATTTAATAAACGGCAGCAACAACAAAAAGACATTGCAGGTTGCTAAGGAAGGAAAAAGTCACCAGCTGTCTTATCCAGCTCTGAACCCTGTGAACTATAATAAAGACTAGCATGGCAAGATACACCCCGTAAGTGCAATACTGGCAAAGGAAGATGGGCTTACCATCTGTTTTCTGACTGGGTTTGAGGCCTGCTTCATAAAAGGAAATACAAGTCTGCTACTGCAAATCTGGCCAAGGGAGTACAAATATTATACAAGCCAATGGACCAGGATGCCTGCTGTAAGATGGTGTCTTCTAGCCATGGCAGGGAAGCTGCACCCGTGAAAGCTCAGCAATATGATTTCCTAAACAAGACCTGCATAATGACACCACCAGTTGTCATGCCAACATAGATGGAAGAAACTTCTTAAGTCCCCACTCCGAAATTAAGAGCTACAGGTAGTCAATGCCAGCTGAGAATCAGTTTTCTCCAGGCACGGGCTCCCTGATAGCTTATCCCATCTCAAGTGTTTAGCCCTACCTGTGTACATATGAGCAGTCAGTAAGTTTTATAAAAGTTATAGGCAGTTGTGAGCTGCCGTGTGGGCAATGAGAACTGAGCCTAGATCCTCTGCAAGAGCAGCAAGTGCTCTTAATCACTGAGCCATCTCTCCAGCAGTTTTCAGTTCTTGATGTTGCCAAGACCCAACAGATTTGATGATAATTATGAAATGGTGAAAGTACTGTGAAAATTTTGATTCAGTTTTATTGGGACTCAGGAAGTTCCCTGGTAGCTTTTCAGTCTTCATTTTGTGAGTCTAAACTCAGTTGGGAAAAATCTCCTATTAAGAGGTTAGTTAATGATGGGTGAAATGTTCAGTCATTATGCTAGCCTGCCCTGTTAACTGGCAGGATGCACTGAGGTGGCACTCTGGCCAGCCCAGAGTACTGTGAGAACCACGCAGGTGCAAAGGACTCCTTTAAAGGACTGCCCCCTGCCCCCTTATGCTCTCTTTTACTCTTGTCTTACTCTCCTCCCCCCCCCTCTCATATCTTATCTCTCTCTCAGCTCTGGACGGGTTGGTTATACCTCACACCCCCCCCCTTTCCTTCCCTGTCCACCAATAAAACTCCACATGGGATAGTTGAGTCACGGTTTGTGTCTCGTTACTGGATAAACCTAGACATTTTAACAACAATGGGCACATGGCAGCAGCAGCTCACAACTGTCTGTAACTCCAAGATCCGACACCCTCACTGACATACATGCAGGCAAAATACCAATGTACATAAAATAAGCTTAAAAATAATATAAGCAGCCGGGCGTTGGTGGCGCATGCCTTTAATCCCAGCCCTCGGGAGGCAGAGGCAGGCGGATCTCTGTGAGTTCGAGGCCAGCCTGGTCTACAGAGCGAGTTCCAGGACAGCCTCCAAAGCCACAGAGAAACCCTGTCTCGAAAAACCAAAAAAATAATAATAATAATAATAAGCTTAAAAATTGAAAACTAGAACAAAAATTTGCCTGGAAGCCAGTAGAATCTCGATATTGAAGCATTTTCTAGATATGTGGGTATAAAACAATGTTCTGATGTCTTCCATTTTCGGTACTGACATATATGCTTTTATTATTATTGCTGTTGTTTCAAGTGAAGCTCCTAAGCCTCTGTATTGAAGTAACAGAGTTAGAAGGAAGGCATATCTGGTTCTCACATTAAGCTACAGTCTCTGTCAGCTCCTTAGATTATCAAGAGACCTAATAATTTGATCTCCGTCTACCTGCCATTCCTTCTTGTTGTTTCTTTTTTATTTTATTTTTATTTTATGTGCACTGGTGTTTTACCTGCATGTATGTCTGTGAGAGGATGTCAGTTCCCCTGGAATTGGAGTTACAGACAATTGTGAGCTGCCAGGTGGGTGCTGGGAATTGAACCTGGGTCCTCTGAAAAAGCAGTCAGTGTTCTTAATCGCTGATCCATCTTTCCAGCCATTGTTTTTATTTTTCAAGACATGGTCTCCCTACAGAGCCCTAGCTGTCCTGGAATTCACTACATGAGCCAGGCTGGCCTTGAACTCATAGAGATCTGCCTGCCTCTGCCTCCCGAGTACTGGAATCAAAGGTGTGCACTACCACAGACCCTGGCTTCTTTGCTGGTCCTTAACACCAGTTCTGAATAAACCACTTCATCCCCCTAAACTATATTTGCCCTTACTTTTATTATGCAGGTCTGTTGTCGAGAATGGTCAACCATCTTCCACTATGAGTTTGTTTTATGTGCATGTAGAAGCCACACAGGCTGAAGAAAAACTGAATTAGGACAATCGTTTTAAAGCTAGTGAAATCTCATACTCTAGGGCTATGTTAACAAGGATGAACAAAAGGAGAATTGAGTTTGGTCCATCTGGGAAGACTAAAACAAATGTCTGACTAGTAGCTAATGGTAAGGTTAATTTCATCTTGTGAAAGCAGAAATGGACTCATGCCTTCACCAGACAGACAGATGAATGAACGGATGGACGGACTGATGGACGGACGATCAGACTGGAGAGATGGTTCAGTGTTAAGAGATCTAGGAGAGGAGTTGGGTTCGATACACTGCACCCACACAGTGGCTCACAAACATCTGTAACTCCAGTCCGCATTGACTGATCACCTATTCTGGCAACAGGCACACAGACATACATACAGGCAAAATACCACACACATAAAATAAATAAGTGGATTTCTATGCTGGAGAGATGGCCCAGCAGTTAAGAGCACTGGCTGCTCTTCCCGAGAACCTGGGTTATATTCCCAATATGGAAATATAAGCTCGCAACCGTCTTTAAATTCAGTTCCAATGGATCCAGCACCCTCTCCAGGCTCCATAGGCACCAGGCATGCATGTGGGGTAACATAAATGATTTTAAATAAAGAAATAGAGCCGGGCGTTGGTGGCACACGCCTTTAATCCCAGCACTTGGGAGGCAGAGGCAGGTGGATCTCTGTGAGTTCGAGACCAGCCTGGTCTACAAAGTGAGTTCCAGGACAGCCTCCAAAGCCACAGAGAAACCCTATCTCAAAAAACCAAAAAAATAAAGAAATAGGCCAGGCGGTGTTGCACGCCTTTAATCCCAGCACTTGGGAAGCAAAGCCAGCCTGGTCTACAGAGTGAGTTCCAGGACAGCCAGGGTTACAAAAACAAATAAACGGAGTTTAAGGCCAGACTGGTCTACAGAAGAGAGTTCCAGGAGAGCCGGGCTACACGGAGAACAAAAAAACAAGAAAGAAATAAGAAAGAAATGGACTTTTCTCAGGAAGACACCTTGTGTAAACAAGCTGTGTGTCAACACTGCAGCCCCTCCTCCCAGCATTCCAGGAGTGCGATCCTGAGCATCCGAGTGCTGAAGTTAAATGAGCAAACGTGATCGGATTAGTGTTCCTTCTCAATCCCAGTCACACACACGCACGCGCGCGCTACTCAGCTTTACCGCCGCTACACAGTAGAACACACACACGTGTCACACACACACACACACAAAACAGACAACTTCGCTGCCGCTAGACAGTAGGACCGGATGAGGGCTGCCCAGCAACTTGCCTGAAGGACCCCAAAGGACCACGCAGGCTAACTAGCTCAGTGCCTGCTGGCCTAGAGCGTTGCGGGGAGGACGAGGCGAACCCAGAACCCAGCTTGCACTGGAGCCGGGGTAGCTGATTTCAGGGTGGGCTTTGGCCCGGAGTAAAGAAGCCGAAACCGTACGACTTGAAGTATAGAATGGGGACAGTAGGCGGGTCGGGAGTCAAGCCGGGGGGCGTGGCCACAGAAGGGGGACAGAAGTAGCTTTGTGGGGCCAGCGTGGCAGTAAGAGAATTGGCGTCAGCTGGCGCGGCAACGTGTAAAACTAGTAACTGGCTGATAGGGTGACCTTTAAGTCAAGCTTCTCTCTCTCTGTCTCTCTCTGTCTCTGTCTCTGTCTGTCTCTGTCTCTGTCTCTGTCTCTGTCTCTCTCTCTCTCTCTCTCTCTCTCTCTCTCTCTCTCTCTCTCTCTCTCTCTCTCTCTCTTTTCTTTGGTTTTTCGAGACAGGGTTTCTCAGTCGCAGCTCTGGCTGTCCTGCATCTCGCTGTATAGACCAGGCTGGCCTCGAACCCACTCAGTTTCCCCTGTCTTTCTTTACATGACAGCATTTTCTTGTAAACCAACAGTCAAGACAGCCCTAACTAACTGGCGTTTGTAAAGGAACCACAACCCCTCTACAGGTTGCCTGTCCTCCCTTGGAAACCTCTTAACCGCCTGGCCTTGGAATGGCTGCATTCAGGTCCGTGCCCTGATTTACCCAGCTAAATACTGTGGAAAGCCAGGTACGTACTAGGCACCCTGTGTAGGAACTAAAGTGAGGATGGGGAGTGAAACACGCTCCTGCTTTCGTGCGGCTTCAGTGGAGTTGTCGCCGAAAGAAGCATTTGAACCCCGAGAAAGTCCCGGCTGGGGAAGTGAGCTGAGCGCAAATGGGCAAGTCGGAGCTGACGGGGAAGGAAACACACGAGGGATGTGGACACTTCCTTACACAAAGCTTGTCAGGCCGGAAAGGCATGGAACTGAAAAAGCCTATTGAACCGGAGCAAAGGAGTTAAGGGTTGTGGGGCTCCGGATTTAGACAGGGACGTTCAAGTCTTCTGCGGTCGGAGACTCCGGGACCAGAGCAGGTTAAAGACTGGAAGACTATGCCTAGGGTCCAGGGTTAGAGTGGCAACAGTGAAGGCCTAGACACCATTGAGGAGGGTGTCACAGAAGTCCCGGACAAAGGGTGACAGCAGTTCCAAGGAAGAGATTTGTGTGGACTTTGAGGTGTACTATATAGGTAAGGTCTTTAGAACTTGGTGATAGTGTGGAGGTGGGGAGTTAGGAACTGGAGGTCTCAAGGACATCCCCATGTCTACTTGGCCATGGTGCCATGTTATCATCTAGAATATTATTAGGTGAAGTGTGTATGCTGATCCTGTACTGGTTAGATTGGGTTTGGCTATAATGGAGCATCCAGTAATAAGCCTTAAAGCATAGTTTCTTTGTTTCGGCCATCCCTGGTACTACTACCATGATTGACTAAGCTATATTCAGGCTAAAAGTAATGAGAATGTTGACCGGTTCTGCCCTGCTCATGTCCCTGGACACCTCTGTGTTTGTTAACAGTTAGAGATGATGTTTTGGGGCCATGGTTGGTTTGGTATGACTTGGTTAGGGTCTGACTGTATAGTCCAAGATGTATGGTCAGCCTCTAAGTGCTAGAATTACACTCAGCTGACATTTTTCCTCCTGCAAAAGTAATTTCTCACATGTAAGTAGAATCTCACAGTTGGAAGTACTTAACCAAGCCTAGAAATATTGTCTGTTACTCGTTATTTCCACAATAATTTATTGAATTCTCTTACATAGTATTGAACACTGGGAATGTAAAGGTGAATAGAGATAAGGCTAAGCCACCAATGCCCAGCTAAGTCATTGTAATCTTATGCCTAGACTGTTCAAGAGTGGACATCATAAACCTTGTTAAAAATACAAAAGAGAGCCGGGCGTTGGTGGCGCACGCCTTTAATCCCAGCACTCGGGAGGCAGAGGCAGGCAGATCTCTGTGAGTTCGAGACCAGCCTGGTCTACAAAACTAGTCCAGGACAAGCTCCAAAGCCACAGAGTAACCCTGTCTCAAAAACAAGAAAAACACAAAAGACTTCAGAAGATATGACAGTATTGGCAAAATCAGGTGGTACTATCAACTTACTTTTCTCTTCAATGGAGAACTTCCTGACGTCCTTATACTTGCAGCATAAACTAGACTGTATGTGTCACGGGGTAGCCTGAGTGTCCCCTCTACAATTTCATGAGTGCAAATAAGCAAATGAACAGGTATCACATACAGCCTTCCAGTATAACAACCAGATGCTCTGTGAGTCTTGAGTGAAGGCCCTGGTTGACTTGCCAGGCTACTTGGCTTCCAGGGTAAAAGGGGCTAAGAGCTCAGCTCCACTGTGGTCCTTAATCCAGCTCTCTGGTAGCAGGGGTGAGATGACCTCCATCTTTCGAAGTCCTCAGGCTCTTCAGCTCACACTCGCCCTGATCAAGCCCGATGCAGTTGCCCACCCACTGATTCTGGAGGTAAGAATGAACCCTACACCTCCACTGCCCGTTTCAGGTGCCACAGGACCACTTGTAACAACTTAGTCTAGTGCTAGGTGCTGAGGTTGAAAGGCTAGATGGATCAGTCTGGTTGCTCAGCACAGAAAGGCTAGATGGATCAGTCTGGTTGCTCAGCACAGATGAAAGGCTAGATGGATCAGTCTGGTTGCTCAGCACAGAAAGGCTTGAGTTTGGTCCATAGGGGAAGGAGAGAACAAACTCTAGCAAGTTGTCATCTGACCTACACAGACCCACATACATAGAAATAAGAAAAGATAGCTAGGCATGGTGGCAAGGCAGAGACAGACAGATCTCTGTGAGTTCCAGAACAGCCTGATCTACAGAACAAGCTCCAGGACAGCCAGGGCTACACAGAGAAACCCTGTCTTTAAAAAAAGGAAAAGAAAGGAGCTAAAAGTCATGGAATCTGACCTAAGAAGATTATAGTCAGAGTTAGGGCATATCTAAAATACAAGAAATAAAATTTTTGCATTATTTTTATATTTTTATTTATTTCACATGAGTGTTGGGGATTTGAATTCAAGTCCTCATGCCTACACAACAAATGCCCTTACCCACTAAACCATCTTCCTGAATCAATTTTTATTTTGTAACAAGGTTTTATTGTATAGCTGCAGCTGGCCTGATATTCACCATGTTGTCTAGGCTGGCCTAGAACTTAGAGATCCACCTGCTTCTGCCTCCGGAGTGCTAGGGTTAAAAATGTATTCCCCGCTGGGCGTTGGTGGCACACGCCTTTAATCCCAGCACTCGGGAGGCAGAGGCAGGCAGATCTCTGAGAGTTCGAGACCAGCCTGGACTACCAAGCGAGTTCCAGGACAGCCTCCAAAGCCACAGAGAAACCCTGTCTCGAAAAACAAAAAACAAAAAAAAAAAAAATGTATTCCACAGTGCCTGGCCCCAATTAAAAAAAAAACAAAACAGAAAACAAAACTCTAATCTGTGTGTATTATATTAGTTTATCTAACATATATTGTATTTTTAAACTAGTTACATTAATTTTAACTAATATATGTATATACTAGTTATCAGTTATATATATTAGTTATCAGTTGCTATATTCTAAATTAGGTAGCTTAAAACAATTCATTTCAGGCTGGAGAGATGGCTCAGCACTTAAGAGCCCTGACTGTTCTTCTAGAGGACCTGGATTTGGTTGCAACACCAACATGTTGGCTCATAACCATCTGTTACTCCAGGTCCAGGGAATACAACACCCTCTTCTGGCTTCCTCAGACACTAGGCACATTCCTCACACAAGCAGTGTGTAGCTAATCCTTTGTGTTTTTCAAACCTCTCTAGCTTTCACCCCCAGGCCAGAGAAAACTACCTTAAAAGGGCTTGTGTGACTTTTTATTATGTTTGATCGTTGTATTTGTGTATGAGAGAGACAACGTGTGTGTGTGTGTGTGTGTGTGTGTGTGTGTGTGTGTGTGTGTGTGTGTAGGTCAGAGGACAACTTAACAGAAGTTGTTTCTTGCCTTCTACCATGTGGATCCTGGGAATTGAACTTGGGTCCTCAGCCTTAACAGCAAATGCCTTTACCCACTGAACCATCTTGCTGGCCCCTTACATGGCTATTTAGTCCCACCAGATGAACCTTCTTTCTAGCTAAAGCAAAATCAACTGATTAGTAACCTAAATTGTATCTGCAAAATCCATTTTGTTGCAACCCCAATAAAAAATAAAAATCTGTTTTGTTATGTAATGTGACTTGTCATATTTTGTCACACTCATAGGCCTGAGGACAGTGGTGGAAAACCTGAGCTGATTCTCAGCACCCGGAAATCATTACTACCATTCAAAATGGTAGAGTGAACAAGATTGACAAGAAGGAGAGTGTAGACATAGACAAGATGAGGGCAGAATGACAAAATATCAGTGAGGTCTCATACTTAGGAAATGCTTCTAATAAGAACAAAGCAGGACCAGGCGTTGGTGGCACACGCCTTTAATCCCAGCACTCGGGAGGCAGAGGCAGGCAGATCTCTGTGAGATTGAGGCCAGCCTGGTCTACAGAGCGAGTTCCAGGACAGCCTCCAAAACAATACAGAGAAACCCTGTCTCGAAAAACAACAACAACAACAAAAGAACAAAGACAAACCAGGTGGTGGTGGCATACACCTTTAATCCCAGCACTGGGGAAGCAGAAGCAGGCAGATCTCTGTGAGTTCCAGGACAGCTAAGGTTACACAGAGAAACCCTGTCTTGAAAAAACAAAAAACAGAAACAGGCAGCCGGGCTGTGGTGGCACATGCTATTAATCCCAGCACTCAGTAGGCAGAAGCAGGCAGATCTCTGTGAGTTCCAGGCCAGCCTGGTCTACAAAGCTACACAGAGAAACCCTGCCTTGTTTGACAAACAAAAAAAGAAGAGATCATTTGGGATATGCCTGTTCTGTTGTAAGGTTAAGAACTCAGAAGGCTCTGTGTAGTGTGTAATACAGAGGAAGCAGCAGGAAGAACAGTGTTCCAGAATGGCAGTCTAGCTTGGCAGGACACAGGCCTCAAAGGATAAGCAAACACTGATTAATGCCAGGAGGAGCTCAGAAGGGAGACCCTGCAGCAGGGATGGCTGCCCAGACGGTGGAACCAGAAGAGGTACAGGGCGAGGGAAGTGCAGCCTGAGTGCTAGGCTGAGGTGCATGCATTGTTTCCATCGTAGAAACACCCAGAACTTTCTGACCAAAGCATGACATGGAAACAACTTGTAGAGTTTTTAATCAAATGTGATGGCTTAGAATGAATGAGGAAAAATGAGGACAGGCCATTAAAAAGACTTGTGTGGTGTTCTGGGTGGTGGGGCCTAGGGACATCACTTCTTATCCCCATGTCCTCTAGGTTCATACTCTGGCAGTAGAACTGAGGTCTTGACCTCCCCTCACCCACTGTGTGGTACTTAAAATATTTATTTATTTATTTATTTATTTTATTTTATTTTATTTTATTTTTTTTGGTTTTTCGAGACAGTGTTTCTCTGTGGCTTTGGAGGCTGTCCTGGAACTCGCTTGGTAGTTCAGGCTGGTCTCGAACTCACAGAGATCCGCCTGCCTCTGCCTCCCGAGTGCTGGGATTAAAGGCGTGCGCCACCAACGCCCGGCTAAAATATTTATTTATTTATTTTATATACAGTCTTCTACCTACATGTTGCCCACATACCAGAAGAGGGCACCAGATCTCATTGTGGATGCTTGTGAGTCACCATGTCATTGCTGGGAATTGAACTTGGGTCCTCTGCAAGAGCAGTCAGTGCTCTAAACCTCTGAGCCACCTCTCCATCCCCTCTGGGCCATACTTAAAAGAAGAGAAGATTTGTTTTCCTTCAGAGGTTCGCAGGTTTTAGCCCACGGCTCCTGGTCCTGTCTCTTAGAGCCTATGCGAGGGTGAACACTGGTGAGAAGCATTCGCAGCATGGGCTGGGATGTGAAGAGTGACCAGCTGAGGTGTCCATTCCCCTTCAAGAGCACGCTCCTGGGCTGGAGAGATGGCCCGGAGGTTAAGAGCACTGACTGTTGGCACAGAGAACCCGGGTTCATTCCCAGCACACTTGGCAGCTCACAGCTGTTGGTGACTCCAGTTCCAGGAGATCTGAAGCCTTCTCCTGGCCTCTAAGGGCACTGCACTTGGATGGTGCTCAGACGCAGATGTAAGCAAAACACCCATACACATAAACAATTGCTCCTAACGATGCCTCCTTCAGGAATTCCACGCAAAAGTGCCATCCGCTGCCTATCACATGAGCTTCAGTGATGGAAGGGCACTTAGTATCTAGTAAGTGATGCCATTAGATAGCTGGACGGCTGAGTGGTTTTATCACTGGGATGGTTTGTTCTCCAGGCTGTTCATCAGCAGATTCTGAGCAACAAGTTCCTCATTGTACGAACGAGAGAACTGCAGTGGAGAAAGGAAGATTGCCGCAGGTTTTACCGAGAGCATGAAGGTAAGGCCAGGATTCTGAATTACAGCCCCCACCCATGCGCATGTGCACACGTGCATGGGGGGGTGTGCACACGTGTGTGAGGTGCACGTGTGTACATGTAGAGGCAAGAGGACAGCCTTAGGTGTCAGTCACAAGCTCTCTCTCACACACACACACACAGGCACACACACACACACCCCTCTCATCAGGGTCCCATCACTGGCCTAGAACCTGACAAGGAGACTAGGCTGGCTGGTTCCTGAGCCCCAAGCATCCACCTGCCTCCACCTCCCCAGCACTGGGTTTGTAAATGTGTGCCACCATGCCTGGCATTTGTGTGTGTTCTAGAAATCAAACTCAAGTCCTCATGCTTGTAATGCAGGCCCTTTACTGGCCAAGCCATCTCCCCCAACCCTATGTCTTCTCATGTTTGTTTCTGCACAGACTTCTCGTGATAATCAGTATTTTCTTTTCCTAGGAGAGATTTCCTGTGTAGTCCCAATCAGAAATTTAATATGTCTTGGTAATATCAGTAATTAACATTAAATAAACATTTATCTTGTCAAACATTTCCCTAATGCTCATTATTTCCCTTAATTTCCCAGATTTAGAATAGGAGGTGGCAGGTATTATTCTATAACACACACACACACACACACACACACACGTAGAAAGATAGTCATTTCCTTCTAATCATAGCGAGCTGATGCTATATCCCAGAGCATAGATTTGGAAGACATTAGGGAAGTTAATGACTTAACCAAACTGTACTGATTGCAAGTGGCAGAATCTAGATCCACACAAGTCTCCAGGGTTCTTGTTACTCTCTGTAAACGGTCTGGTATTACAGGTAGTGAAAAGTGAGGAACCTCTCTTGGGCACCATGTCCTCATGAAGGGACTCTCTCTTTTGCAGGGCGTTTTTTCTATCAGCGGCTGGTGGAGTTCATGGCCAGGTACTTTGAATTTTGGTTCCAATATCTTTGCTGTGGTATATCTCCTCTTCCCTAAGAATAGAATTGTCAGTTTCACTTACCACCTTTTAAAGATGTAATCAATGTCAAGTGTAAATAAACAAAAAGCAAACGAACAAAAAAAAGAATCATGACTGAGCCACACTGACCCGCAGGTGTTAGGTGCCTGGCCCCTGGCTGCTGAGCCAGTGGCTGTGGTGCGTGGCAGCTCTGCTGGCCACTCTTGCACATTGGTAGTCAGCCTCTCCTGGTCACCTTCTCTTTGAAGCAGCATCAGTACTCACTAGGAGAGCAAAGAAACCGTCAGGAAGTACAGTTCACTTTATTCTTGCCCTGTTCAAAGCATGTGCTAGATTAGGTGACCAAATCCCTCCTTTTATTCTCAGTGGGCCAATCCGAGCCTACATCCTTGCCCACAAAGATGCCATCCAGCTTTGGAGGACACTGATGGGACCCACCAGAGTATTTCGAGCACGCCACATGGCCCCAGATTCAATTCGTGGGAGTTTTGGCCTCACTGACACCCGAAACACTACCCATGGCTCAGGTGAGTAACCCTCTCGTCCACAGCCACTAATGAGGAAGGATGTTTTAGGCAGGCAAGTAAGCCGTGTGGGGAGATTGACAATCAGCGGTCCCTCCATTGAGCTTTGTTCCATTTATTTCTGGCCCTTTGTAGCTGTCTCAGCCATGTGACCTGTGAGGTTTCTTTATATATCCCAGTACGGAGTGGTTGAAGTTTCTGAACCTGATGCTGAGACTGTCTTGCCTGTCTCCACATTCCCTGTGATAACCCTTCTCTCTCGTTTGTTTTACTTTATTTTGAGACATGGTCTTGCTTTGTTTCCTAAGCTGGTCCCAATCTTGCAATCCTTCTGTCTCAATTTCCTAAGTAGCTCTTCTCTCCCTTCCCTCTCCTCGTAGACTCTGTGGTTTCCGCCAGCAGAGAGATTGCAGCTTTCTTCCCTGACTTCAGTGAGCAGCGCTGGTATGAAGAGGAGGAACCCCAGCTGCGCCGTGGTCCTGTGTGCTACAGTCCAGAAAAAGGCATCCACTGTGCAGCTGCAACAGAAAGCCCCAAAGCAGCCTAGTAAAGTCCCGTCAGTCCCCGAGGACAGGTGGCGATGTCCAGCTTTTTCTCCTAGGGTTAGGGAATCATGGGCTGAAGGCACTGCACCTGTTGGATGGCATCACCTACCCAAAGACCTAGCGTATCACTGCTCAGCTGCTGCTGTCTAGCTCTATCTACCTCTTCTGGGAAATATTCAGGGCATTTAGGAAGGACGGTGACTCCTCTTCTGTGAAATATCCATGGGTATTTAGGAAGGATGGTGACTCCTCTTCTGTGAAATATCCATGGGCATTTAGGAAGGATGGTGACTCCTCTTCTGTGAAATATCCATGGGCATTTAGGAAGGATGGTGACTCCTCTTTTTGTGTGTGTGTGGACTAAGATAGCGTTTCTCTGTGTAACAGCTTTGGTCGTCTCAGAACTTGCTCTGTAGACCTGGCTGGCCTTGAACTCACAGACATCTGCCTGCCTCTGCCTCCCAGATGCTGGGATTAAAGGCGTGCACCACCACTGTCCAGCTGGTGACTCTTCTTTTTGCAAATGACTGTCATCCTTCCTCAAGAAGGAGCCTGCCTGCTGACTAGCAGTGACTGTGTAACCAATATTTGATCTGACTCTTTAATAAATTCTGTGCTACTGAATCCTCCAGGCTGGCAGCACTTCTGTACAAGCTTTCTCTGTTGTTCACTGGAGTCCTTGCATCTTCCCTGAAGCCAGGTTTCTGGTCTGTGCTAACTGAAGAGAGAATCATGTAAGAATCTCTCAGTGGGGTGATTATGTAGCACATGGAGGCACCCATTCACCAAGTTGAGTGTGGACTCAAAACCACGCCTAGGCACAGGGCTGAGTCCTGGAGGAAGAGGCACTTTTTCTTTGAACCAAGGTGCCTCTGCCCAGTCGAGGTGTGTTCTGATTCTCACAAAGGCTCTAGTGGTAGCTTTGCACCATACCAGCATGGCTGCTAACACATTGCCAACTACAGCAAGTGCCAATGGTGTAAACAGTGGGGATTATTCCTCTGTGTCTGCTAGCTGCCTGCTTGCCTCTGTTGCTTTCACCCAGACTCTGTGTCTGCTAGCTGCCTGCTTGCCTCTGTTGCTTTCACCCAGACTCTGTGTCTGCTAGCTGCCTGCTTGCCTCTGTGTCTGCTAGCTGCCTGCTTGCCTCTGTTGCTTTCACCCAGACTCTTGCAGCTGTATTTGTCTGGTGAGTCGATTATGGTCTTTATTCCAGTTCATGAAGCTTCTGCCTATGTCTGAGTTACAGGACAAAGACTCTGGGATGTGGTGGCACATGACTTTACTGCAGCACTCAGAAGATAAAGGCAGATGGATCTCCAAGTTGGAGGCCAGCCTGGTCTATAGAGTGAGTTCCAGGATAGCCAGAGCTAGACAGTGCAACCCTGTCTTGAAAAATCAAAGCCATGCAGTGGTGACGCTCCAGCATGTTATTCCTTCAGCAGCTACATGGCATCTCCTTGGCTCTGCTTCTTTTTCTCTGTAGTTTTGTTTGGGTTTCCCTGCCTAGCTATAATCTCCCTGGCCACTGGCCAAATCAGCTTTATTTCTCAACCAGTAAGCAACATATATTCGCAGCATACAGAAGGACATCCCATATCAGGGTGGCATACATTTTCAGAGGTTTAGTCCATTGTCATGGTGGAATATGGTGCCCTGCAGGCAGACGTGGTGGAGTTGAGAGTTCTACATCTGGACCATCAGGCAGCAGGAAGTGAACTTTCTCACTGGGCATGGCTTAAGTATATATGAGACCTCAAAGCCTGCTGTCACAATGACTCACTTCCTCCAACAAGGCCACACCTAACAGGGTCATTCTCTTTGGGAGCCATTTCCTTTCAAGCCACCACACACACCCCTCCCCAATAAATAAATAAATAAATAAATAATTTAAGGTTTAAGATTGCTTTAAAGCTGATGAAACAAGATGAAAGATCAAATCAGATTGGCCAGTTAGAAGCAAACTCAAACGGGTGAATGTGTACTGAAACAGATGAAGAAACCAGATTTGAACTCAAATGGGACAAGACTAACTCAAATTAGATAAAAGCGGCCCGGCGTTGGTGGCAAGGCAGTGGTGGTTACACCTTAATCCCAGCACTCGGGAGGCAGAGGCAGGCAGATCTCTGTGAGTTCGAGGCCAGCCTGGTCTACAAAGTGAGTTCCAGGACAGCCTCCAAAGCCACAGAGAAACCCTGTCTCCAAAAACCAAAAGACCAAAAAAAAAAAAAAAAAATTAGACAAAAGCAGTTCCAGGTAGACAGGGAACAAATCAAAACTCTTGGGTTCAGAGATGAACAAGAAGAAGGCAGATTGTTTTTTCTTTTTGAGACAGGGTTTCTCTGTGTAACAGCCCTAGTTGTTCTGGAACTCTCTGTACGAGACTGGCCTCAGACAGAGACCCATCCTGTCTCTTCCTGTGGGTGCTGGGAGTAAAGACGTGTGCCACCACTGCCCAGCTAAAATGGCAGATCTTGAGAGCTTCTGACAGACTCTGAGGGTAAGACCATCAGTCAAGAACTAGGCTATCACTTGGCAGCCCACAACTGTCTGTAACTCCAGTTCCAGAAGATCTGGCACTCACACAGACATGTATGTGGGCAGAACACCAATGCACATAAAAACTTGAAAAAACTTTAAAAACAGAACTCAGCTATCTGTAACCTTGCATTCCCCCATGGGCATTGTTTGGTTGGTTATGCATCATAGGTGACGGTTGTGTTGTATTTTTGGGTTACATTTTTCTGTTGGAATGAGTTTGTCTTGATTTCCTCTTTCTGAGCCTGCTGGGGTATTGTTTCCTCTGACTCTTCCTAGAGGAATATCTGTGTGAAATTCAGCTCCAGGAACTGATGATGTCTGGTGTTGAGTAGAGGAAGAGTGTCTGAAATCGTCCCATTGTGGCTGTGTGCCAGCAGGACCAATGGTGGGGATGGACACTTAACCCCAAGGTGACCAGACGGAGCCCAAACCTTGGTAATCCCTGGATTCTTTGAGCCTGGTAGAGACAAGATACCAGGCGTTAGACCCAGGGAGGCCTGTCTACTGTATGGAGGCTGGGGTTAGAGCCCTCTGAGACCACTGCTGTCTTGTTTGTTTGTTTGTTTGTTTGTTTGTTTTGTTTTGTTTTTTGAGACAGGGTTTCTCTGTATTGTTTTGGAGGCTGTCCTGGAACTCGCTCTGTATACCAGGCTGGCCTCAAACTCACAGAGATCCACCTGCCTCTGCCTCCCGAGTGCTGGGATTAATGGCGTGCGCTACCAACGCCCGGCTCCACTGCTGTCTTACAGTGACCCCATTCTCTCAATGTCCTCAGGGACCTCTGGAGCCGACGCTGCAGTTCCTCACAGGAGCCTCAGCTTGCTGCTGCAGAAGCTTGAGCCCTGCAGTGACCCCTGAGGCCACTGTCCTGCAGTCCTGATGGTGATGCAGGAGCCAGAGGCCTGGTATTCCTGTCACCTGTCCCCCACCACCATGCTCTCTGGTCCCACAGAACTAGCTCCCAAAGTTGTCCTCTGTTCTTCACACATGTGCTGTAGTATGCAGTTATGTGTAGGCATGCACACACACATGTACACATGCACAAGAAATGAAAAGCAATTTTGGGTGTTTTTTTTTCTAGACAGAGCCTCTCTGTATTGTTTTGGAGGCTGTCCTGGAACTAGCTATTATAGACTAGGCTGGTCTTGAACTCACAGAGATCTGCCTGCCTCTGCCTCCCAAGTGCTGGGATTAAAGGTGTGTGCCACAATGCCTGGCTGAAAAACACATTTTTAAAAAGAAAATATGAGGAGTTGGGACCAAAGAGATGGCTCAGAGCTTAGGAGCCTGACTGCTGTTCCAGAGGACCTGGGTTCGATTCCCAGCACCCACATGGCAGCGCATAACCACCTGTAACTCCAGTCCCAGGGGATCTGGTGCCTTCTAACATGTAGTGCTCAGATATACAAGCAGACAAAACACACACACACACACACACACACACATATATATATATATATATATATTTTTTTTTTTTTTTAAGTTTTTCGAGACAGGGTTTCTCTGTAGCTTTGGAGCCTGTCTGGGAACTGGCTGTGTAGACCAGGCTGGTCACAAACTCACAGAGATCCACCTGCCTCTGCCTCCCGAGCATGGGGATTCTTTAATCTGCCTGTCAGATAAATTTCAATTTTAAAAGTTTAAAGTAGCGGATCTCTGTGAATTCGAGGCCAGCCTGGTCTACAAAGTGAGTTCCAGGACAGCCTCCAAAGCCACAGAGAAACCCTGTCTCGAAAAACAAAAATAAATAAATAAATAAATAAGTTTAAAGTACATTGATTAAGTTGGTCATGGTGGTACCTTCAGTCCCAGCACGTGGAAGGCAGATGCCAGCCTGGTCTACATAGTGAGTTTCAGAACTACAGAGATACCCTGTCTTGGAAAACAAAACAAAAAAACACTTGCTATTCTTGCAGAGGACCCTGGATTTAGTTCCCAACACTCACATCTGGCAACTCACAAACTGCCTATAACTCCAGTTCCAGGGGATTTGACCTCTCGGGCCTCTGCAGGTATCAGCAGGACATAATTTGCATATGTATACACTCAGGCACACACACAAAATAATAAAAATTATTTTTTTCTTATCTGTTCTTGTTGTTTCAAGACAGGGTTTCTCTGTGTAACAGCCCCCGCTGTCCTGGAACTCGCTCTGTGCCAGAGTCCAGCTCCAGCAGGGTTCTTGTGCTGAAGGAAGGATGTGTGAAAAATGAGGAGTCTGCCCACTGGCTGTCCTTCAAACTGACGCCCGACTAACTCAGGCGTCTTTACTTGTACAGGTTCTAATGCAATCAACATGAGCAGTTTCAAAGCACTTCTCTTTCATCATTGTACAAGCATCTTTAGCATTTTAGTTTCTCTTCTTCTACTCCCTCGGTGTCCTGGGCCTTCACTGCATGTCACTACATAGCGAGCCAAATGTTTCTATCTAGCTAGGTACATCTTATTCGTACTGTGCCCTAGCCAGCAGCAAACATGCAAAGTAAGAGATTTGAGCCCTGTGGTTAGTTCTTAACAATATGAAATCAGCTGAATATATTGTGATACCTAGGATATCATTTTTCAGGTGCAGACCAGTTTTTGAGTAATCTGCCACCTTTATTATATGGATTGTAATTATCTTGTTCTTAAAATAATAGTGATTAATACCTAACTCTTTAACTCTTTTTATTTTTTATTTTATTTTTTATTTTTTTTGGTTTTTCCGAGACAGGGTTTCTCTGTATTGTTTTGGAGGCTGTCAGTCCAGCCTGGCCTCGAACTCACAGAGATCCGCCTGCCTCTGCCTCCCGAGTGCTGGGATTAAAGGCGTGCGCCATCACCGCCCGGCCTCTTTTTATTTTTTAATATTTATTTATTTATTATGAATATAACATTCTACCTCCATGTATGCCTGTACGCCAGAAGAGGGCACCAGATCTCATTATGGATGGTTGTAAGCCACCATGTGGTTGCTGGGAATTGAACTCAGGTCCTCTGGAAGAGCAGTCGGTGCTCTTAACCTCTGAGCCATCTCTCCAGCCCCCCTCTTTAACTCTTAAGACTAAGTTTATTTTTCCTGGCCATTTCTACATGTACTTTTCTTTTAAAGGAACTGGGAGTTTTAGATTACTTTATTGATATTGATTTGATTTTGGAAAAGTAACTTGAGTGTTCATGTCCTAGTGCCAGAGAAATGTTCATGTCCTATCTCTTCTTCCTTCTGCATTCCTATAAAGTTTTGGTGGGTTTTTTGTTTTTTTTGTTTTTGTTTTTGTTTTTGTTTTTGTTTTTCAAGACAGGGTTTCTCTGTATTGCTTTGGAGGCTATCCTGGAACTCACTCTTTAGACCAGGCTGGCCTCGAACTCACAGAGATCCACCTGCCTCTGCCTCCCAGTGCTGGGATTAAAGGTGTGCGCCACCAACGCCTAGCTTCCTATAAGGTTTTTAATGTCATCTTTTACGTAACCATTTTCTTGGTTCTTAAGTTCTTTGGAATATGTTTATCTCTTTTTGGTATTGAATAAGCAATAATCATTAATCTTAGTGAGTTCCTCCTGCTTCCTCAGGATGACTGCAAAGGCAGCCAGGAATAACTGAAGAATTTGGTTTCTGAAACAGATCAGAGAAATTTAGTTTTTCTGTGGAGGCCTTTGTTCCCAGTAAACTCGGGCATCTACTAACAAGGCAAAACTAAGAGTTACCATAAGAATAAACATAGCAAAAGTTAGAGAGGCCTGAAGCCCATGAGCTCCCTAAGGTCAGCGTGGGAGTCTGCAGTATCGTACCCATAGGTCCTTGCCAAATGAATGGGATTCTCCAAAGGGCCTTGCTGTCCAGGGAGCTCCAAATGTAACACACCTATGTGCGGTTCCCAAGGGCGGCAGCAGGGCTTCCACCAGCTCTGCAGACCAGACTGGCTTCACGCTCACAGAGATCCGCCTGCCTCTATATCTCGAGTGCTGGCATTAAAAGAGTGTGCCACCACTACCCAGCTAATAAATGCTTTTTTGGTGTTGCTTTTGTGTGTTTTGGGCAGGGAGGAGTGGACCTCTTGCCCTGATGCCTTACACACCTTCTGACGGAGCAGCTGGTATCTTCTTTCTCTCAAGCCACCATACATACACACAGAGTACAAAAATGATAGCTCAGAGAGCCTCCAGAGTTAAAGACTAAAAGAAGATGTAAGCCGTTGAAAAGTTTCCTTCACCAAATTTATTATTTTTTGTAATCCAGAAACAGGCCAAGGCAGGCCTAACTCTCTGCCTGAGGTGCAGTTTTCTGAAAAAAATCCTTAATTTTCTGACCAATTTTCTTAAAGTTTTCACCAATCTTCAGCCCACCCTTTCGCAGGAGTTCAGCAATCCGGGAATCTTTCTTGACCGGCTGGGGGTGTGTCCCAGGCTGTGTACCAGGAAGAGATGGGTTCCTTGTGAGACTGGTCCTAGGGTACCCAAGGTCCTCCCCATGTAGACCACACTCAGGGATGTTACCAGAGCCTCTGGGCCCCAGGTCAGTCACTGGGACATGTAGATGGATCCTTAACCCATTAAAGTATGAGAACGCTGGGGTTTGGGAATGGCAAGAGGCTCCCTGGCCTGTGTACCCTGGAGGATGCTATCAGTATTAGCAGGGCTTAAATACCCAGTGGGGCATGTTACAACCCAGGTGGTAAGGTCTTCAGCCTGAGTCCTGTTAAGACTTAGGCAGGCCTGAGAATCTACATCCCTCACAAGTTCGGGCTAAAAAAAAAAAGCAAAGGTTTGTTTGGTTTTTGTTTGCTTGTTTGGTTGGTTGGTTGGGTTTTTTTGTTTTTTGTTTTTTGAGACAAGGCTTTACATGTACCCATGTCTGTCCTCGAACTCTATGCAGATAAGGCTGGCCTAGAACCCATGGAGAATCTCCTGCCTCTGCCTCCCAAGAGGCAAACTTGGAGAGTCATTGTTCTAAGGGAGGGGAGAACCAGTCTTGGAGTTAAAGTTCAGGCACGAAGGGGATGAGGTGGAGCTCTCTCTGCTCTGGGTAGGAGTAGGGAGCATCTGGATAATCCATGTCCCATGCCCACATCACCCCCTGCATCCCACTTACCCCTTGACAGTCGATGTCAAAAGACTCCGTGTCCTGGTTCAGGGTGATTGTCCCCACACACCGCTTCACTACCTGAGAAGAGGAAGCTCAAGGTCAACTAGAGCCCATTTACCATAACCCTCAACCCTAGCCCACTGATGGAAATACTCCCTCAGAGCTCCTCACTTAGTTCTTCAGGAGGTACCCACCAAGCAGCCCAGCCCTCCACCTTACCCCATGTTCCCTGAAGTTACACAGCTCAGGTATCTGATGTGTTGCCTTGTCACACACTGTCTCCTTCATTCTGAAGTCCACATACTTTGGAGTACCTGGGTCTTCATCCTGGTCACAGGAGAAAGCAGGGAGACTAGTCTCTGGCCCATTCTCCACTTCAAGGGTCAGTCTCCCTGACAACCACTAACAGAGTGGCCTTCCAACATTACATGGTGGTGCTGAAGCAGGGCCTAGTGCTGGGTGCAAAGGGGAGGAAAAAAATGAGCCTTCTTTCCTCCCTCACATACAGTGACTAGGAACAGCCCTCAGCCAGCAACAATGAAGAGCACCTCCCTTCTGGAAGGCGGGGGAACCCAGGGCCTTCCTAGGGGCATCAGGCATATCATTTGGGACCTCAAAGCTAGGCAGAATCCCTCATTGGATATGGAAAAAAACTTAGAGCAAAGGAAGCCAATTCCTGGGAACCATGATTCTACCCTGTCCCTGGAATGGAGGTCCCAGGCCTCACTAGAATGGGGTTGAGGGCACTTCTGCCACAGCAGGTATTTCAAGACTGAAAGCTGTCAATCTGGAAGGAGGCACAGATCTAGGCAGTGTCCTGGGGAAAGGAGAGACCACACTACAAAAGGGAGATGCCTTGGATTAGAGCTGCTCTCCCCAACCTCACCCCTGGGGGCTGAGAATCCATGTCCAGAAAGCGGTAGAGATAGGTGTCCAAGGACTGCTGGTTGAAGTTATCCACTGCACGGAGCACAGCCTCCCTGTAGCTGAGGGTCTTGGAGATGGCTAACGGCAACACCAGGCCCAGCAGCAGCAGCAATGATAGTGACCATCGCAGGAAAGGGTGGTCCCTCTGGGTGTGCATGGTTCCCAAGACTGACTCCTCCAGGCAACAGGGCCTCCTTTATGCTCAGCCTGATCCTGATGCAAAAGTCAACCAGAAGCCTTCCTGCTCCACCCTGCCACTGGCTGCCTGCCAGGGTGTGGGCTGGGACTTGCTTCAGACTCTTGTTGCCTCATGAGGCTCTGGCAGTGAGTGAAGTAGACCTGGCCAAATAAAGAAGTAACTTCCCCATCTTCTTGAGATGACCTTGGCTTCTCCTGGACCACAGGGGGACTGTCACATCCAGGATTGCTCAATGGGATGAAAATCTCAAGGAAAGAAGAGACAGTGACTATCCTAAATCTGTCTGGGAATGGGTCTGGGTTTAGTGTGTATTGTAAATCTCCAGCTCTAGGCATTGTCTGACTCTCAGTGGACAGGTGGCCTTTGATGATAAGTGACAGTGGCCACCCCACTCAGAGACCCACCCTCCCAAGGAAGAAGTTTCCCCTGCCATTCAAGACCATAACACCCTGTTCTTTGACAGTTGAAGGGTTTGGAAGCACAGGGCAGTGGAGTCTGGAAACCAAGTACTGCCAGTTGAGGCATGAACCATGACCTCCTAGACACAGCACTAGGTGCAAATGCAGCAGCAATGACACCCTCTCCTGGGTCCTTCTACCTGCCTTTCTCAGGATAAAAATGTCCCTATCCTCCTGCAGATGTGGCCTTTAGCCCAAGCCCACAAAAGGCCATCTGCACTGACTGAGCCCGTATTCCTATTTCTCTCACACTTAAACTCTTTTCAGGATCAAGTGACCACCCTCAAATTGTGTTTTAGTGCATGAAGGCTTAGGTTACCACTCTGTTCTGTCATCTTTGCCTTGCCTCTTGCCTATGTCTCCTCCTCTTAACATTGAGGGCTTGAGGGTTGCATCTAGGACCGATTCTGTCCCCAGGATTCAGGTTTTCCTCGGGATAGCACATCTCAGATCATAAGTTACAATGAATAGGCATTGAATGGTCTGTAGGTCTGAGTTCATGATTCCTATGAATGCTAGGTATGGTGGCTCATGTCTATTATTTTAACACCTCAGAGGCTGAGGCAGGAAGACTCATGAGTTCAAAGCCAACCTGGGTTACTACGTGAGACCCTATCTCAAAAATCTCAAAAAAAGAAATGGGAACTGGGGGGCAGCCATAGTCTCGACTGTAGCATACAAAGCCTGAGGTTCAAGTCCCAGCACCACATAACCTGTTCCCACTGGTGCAGGCCAGTAATCACAGCACTTAGGAAATGGAGGCAGGAAGGTCAGAAGTTAAAGGTCATCCTTAGCTACAAGTCTGAGGCCAACTTGGGCTGCATGAGGGCCTGCTTCAGAAAGAAGGGGGGGGGAGAAGGGGGAGGGAGGGAGGGAGGGAGGGAGGGAGGGAGGGAGGGAGGGAGGTTAACATTTAGAAGAAATATGTCTGTGTGAACATACGTCACGTCAGTGTGGGCACTAGAAGCAGCTGGAAGGCAGTGAATGCCGTGGAGCTGGAGTCACAGGCGATTGTGAGTCTTTCTGTGTTGTTACTGGTAACATTAGTCAGAAGAACAAGTGCTCTTAACCACTGAGCCATCTTTCCAATCCGACATCATTATTTTTTTAAGCCCAAAGAAAAAGAGATCCCCATGGGAACTCTTACCTGGTTGCCAAGTGCCGGCTGGAGTCCTGCTCTCAAGGCTGGGAGAACAACCGGATTATTCCTTCTTCCTCCTGGGACACGCCCCCTCTTCCTCCCACACCATCTTTACCACGTTCCTCCTATGAGTTGTTAGCAAAGTCTCTAGATGTCATCTCCTTGGGTACCATGCTCCCCCAGCCACAGTCCACTCTCCACACGACAGCCGAGGGACTCCCAGAGCTCACTGCGGTGGCCATTTCAGCCCCTACCTTCAGTAGCCCACGTACCCTCTATTCCCACAGCTCTCATCACGGCCCCCTGCACATCCAGAAGCCAGAGCACCACACCAGCACCCGGATTCCCAGAAGCCAGAGCACCGCACCAGCACCCGGATTCCCAGAAGCCAGAGCACCGCACCAGCACCCGGATTCCCTGCGCTTCCAGCCTACATGGTGCTTTGGGCGTTCTGTTATGGTTGGTTTTGTTGGTTTTGTTTGTTTGCTTGTTTTTTTGTTTTTTGTTTTTTGTTTTTTGTTTTTTTGTATGTGTGCTAACTCAAACTGATTGAACTACTATTGCTAAATTACGTTAAGACTACTCTACTTCAGCCGGGCGTTGATGGGACACGCCTTTAATCCCAGCACTCGGGAGGCAGAGCCGGGCGGATCTCTCTGAAGTCTACAAGAGTGAGTTCCAGGACAGCCTCCAAAGCAATACAGAGAAACCCTGTCTCGAAAAACAAAAACAAACAAACAAACAAACAAAAAAAAAACAAGAGGGGGCTGGAGAGATGGCTCAGAGGTTAAGAGCACTGACTGCTCTTCCAGAGGTCCTGAGTTCAATTCCCAGCAACCACATGGTGGCTTACAACCATCCGTAATGAGATCTGGTGCCCTCTTCCGGCCTGCTGGCATACGTAGAAGCAGGATGTTGTATTCATAATAAATAAATAAAATCTTTAAAAAAAAAGTTAAGCCAATGAAGGTCTTTATTAAAAAAAAAAAACAAGAAAGACTGCACTACTTCGATCAAGGCTTTTAGTTTACATTTGACCTCAATGCCATTGTAATATTAGGTTGGTCATATTATTTTATTATTTTGAGATAGGGTCTTTTTTTTTTTTTTTTTTTTTTTGGTTTTTTGAGACAGGGTTTCTCTGTGGCTTTGGAGGCTGTCCTAGAACTCACTTGGTAGTCCAGGCTGGTCTCGAACTCACAGAGATCCGCCTGCCTCTGCCTCCCGAGTGCTGGGATTAAAGGCGTGCGCCACCAACGCCCGGCGAGATAGGGTCTTATTTAGCCCAGATTGGCCTACAACTCTGTATGTAGCAGCCAAAGGTAACCCTGAACTCCTGGTCCTCCTGCCTCCAACCTCTAAAATGCTGGTGTTACAGGCATGTATCATCAACTAGCTTTCTGTTTGTCTTTCTTAATTGGTAAGAACATGCATGTGTGCACTTTTGGGTGTGTGTGAGCATGTGCCAGCGTGTATGTGTCCATCCCCCCAAATGCTGGGATTACAGAGGGGCAACCACATCCTGTTTAACTTGGTTGATTATACTTCCTGTTTGGAAGACACACAATCTTCATCCCCAAATGTCAAATACATACTAAGCAATCACTTGAGTGCATTCACACACACGGGAAATGAACTTTTTTGTTAGGGTTTTTTTGTTGTTTTTCCAGACACAGTTTCTCTATGTAGCGCTGACTGTCCTAGCACTCACCATGTAGACCAGGCTGGCCTCGAACTCACAGAGATCCACCTGCTCTGCCTCCCGAGTCCTGGGATTAAAGGCGTGCGCCACCAATGCTAAGTGAAATAAATGTATTTTAAAAATCCCAGAACTTGGGGCTGGAGAGATGGCTCAGAGGTTAAGAGCACTGACTGCTCTTCCAAAGGTCCTGAGTTCAATTCTGAGCAACCACATGGTGGCTCATCAACCATCTGTAATGAGATCTGGTGCCTTCTGCTGGCCAGCAGGCATACATGTAGGCAGAATACTGTATACATAATAAATAAGCAAATAAATAAATAAATCTTTTAAAAAGAATCCCAGAACTCATCAGGTCGTGGTAGCACACATCTTTAATGCCAGCACTCCGGAGGCAGAGGCAGGTGGATCTCTGGTTTACAAAACAAGTTCCAGGACAGACATAGCAACACAAGAAAAACCCGGTCTTGAAACACCAAGGAAAAAAATCTTAGCCAGGCTCGGAGGCACACACCTTTCATCCCAGCATTCCATAGGCAGAGGCAGACAGGTCTCTGTGAGTTCACGTAGTGTGTTCTAGGCCAGCCAGAATTACATGGCAAGACTTCTCTCAAAATACAAAACCAAAACCAAAAAATTTTAAAGCCACAATACTTACTGCAAATTAGGCCCTGCGGTCAAACACACAGGTACACTGTGCATTCACCACTTAACATATCAAACAACACTACATGTGAGACAAAAAATGCCAAAACTGTATGTTTGAAATGCAAATGTATACACATAATACAAATATGTGTCTGCATTAGCAAGTAGGGGACTCACAGTGGGTGGGAATCCACAGCCGAAGATGTCTGAAATGATTTACAAAATGTGTTAAATTATTTAAAGGTTTTTTATAATTTGTGTGTTTTGTATTGTGCGTATGTGTGTTCATGTGTGTATGTGTAATTCATGCATGTTGAAGGTCAGAGGTGCTGGATGCACCTAGAGTTGGAGTTAACGGGTGTTGTCAGCTGCCTAACATGGATGCTGGGAATCAAACGGGGGTCCTCTGCAACAGCAATACGTGCTCTTTAGCACTGAGCAATTCCTCCAGCCCCTGTTAAATCATTTTTTAACAGTTTGAAAACATGCTTTCTTGCTGTAGACTCCCATTATGCACACAGCTATAAACATCACTTTACGAAACAAAAGAAAAAGGTGGAAATTTGAAAAGTGTAGGCATTTGTTTCTAAGTTGTAATTAAAGGCCACATCTTTAAAGAATTATCAATTGTCCTGGATACTCGGGCTATCAACCTGACACCTCTGAACCTCAGCTGAATGATTGCTAGTGGGCTAGACTGTGGGCTTGTCTGGCCTGTGAGGCACTTTCTTGATTGCCAGCCCACTGAGGGCAGTGCTGTCCCTGGGCAGGTGGGCCTGGGCTGTGTAAGGAAGGTGGACGAGCGTGACCCTGGGAGCAAGCCAATAACCATCATCCCTCCACGGTCGCTGCTTCATCCTCCTGCCTGAGTCCCTGCCCTGGCCTCTGTCCATGATAGACTGTAAGATGAAATAAACTCTTTCTCCTCAGTTGCTTTTGGTCATGGTGTCTATCATAGCAACAAAAAAGCAAACTAGAACATCATTCATTTGACAATTTTTTTAAGTTTAAAGAACTGATTTTTTTTCAATTTTTATAATAAAGTTTGTAAGTGAAAAAGATGTAATAAACGTACTTCTTCCATCTAAAAAATGTTAGCCAGGTGATGGTGGTGCATGCCTTTAATCCCAGCAGTTAGGAGGCAGAGGCAAGCAGATCTCTGTGAGTTCAAGGCCAGAGTGAGTTCCAGGACAACCAGGACTGTTACACCGAGAAACCCTGTCTCAAAACAATAAAATCAGCCGGGCGGTGGTGGCG